TGGAGAAAGTGCAAAGGAGATTTACTAGAATGATGCCAGGAATGAGGTACTTATTGAGAAAGTTTTCTTGAACACACTTAGATTCCTCCCTATCCTAGCCCTTAACACTATGGCAGCCCCAGTCTATATTTGGAAAGTTAAAATCCCCTACTATTACAACCCTATTTTTCTTAAGGGGCATAGATAAGGCAAATAGCCAAGGTCTTTTCCTCAGGGTAGAGGAGTCCAAAACTAGAGGGCATAGGTTTAAGGTGAGAGGGGAAAGATTTAAAAGAGACCTCAGGGGCAACTTTTTTTCACACAGAGGGTGGTGCATGTATGGAACAAGCTGTCTGAGGAAGTGGTGGAGGCAGGTACAATTACAATGTTTATAAGGCATTTGGACAGGTACATAGATAGAAAAGATTTAGAAGGATATGGGCCAAATACAGGAAAATGGGACTAGTTCAGTTTAGAATACCTGGTCAGCATGGACGGGTTGGGCTGAAGGGTCTGTTTCAATGCTGTGTGATTCTATGACTCTAAATTGGGATTATTCTCCTTGGAGCAAAGAAGATTAAGACGTGACCTTGTTGAGGCATTCAAAATTATGAATAATTTTGACTGAATTATGAAAAACATTCTATTTACACTAGTTGGTAAGTCAGTAACTAGGAACCATAATTTTAAGATTGTCAGCAAGAGAGTGAGGAGAAAATTCTTTACTCAGAGAGTTGTTAGGATTTGGAATGCGCTGCATGGGAGGGTGGTGGAGGTGGATTCCATAGGAGATTTCAAAAGGGAGCTGGATATATATTTGATTATAAAAACCAAAAGAACTGCAGATGCTATAAATCAGGAACTAAAACAAAGTTGCTGGAAAATCTCAGCAGGTCTGGCAGCATCTGTGAAGGAGAAAACAGAGTTAACGTTTCGGGTCCAGTGACCCCTTCCTCAGATTTTTGATATTTGATAATGATGAATTTATAAGGCTGTGAAGATAGGGCGGGAAAATGGAATTAGTTCGGCAGTTGTTTTGGGAGCTGATACAGATACGATGGGCAGAATGTCCTCTTTCTGTATTATTCTATGATTCTATGGCAGATCTAGACTCTGTAAATGCACAAAGTGTGGTGAGAAAGGTTAGTGAGCTACAAACAAAAGTAGCTCTCTGGAAATATGTAGCAGCAACAACAGGCACTTGGCTTAAAATTAATGAGTACTGAGTGTTTCATATTCAATGATACAAAGTGTTCAGGAAAGGCAGTGAGGAGGAAAAAGGCTGCCGTTGGAATCCTAATTAGCACTGGAAAATGAGGATGTCCTTTAAGGGGAAGGACAGAATCTATTTGCTTAGGAATGAAAAATCAAAATGGTACGATCACATTTTTGGGGATATTCTATAGACTTTCAAATAGTGTGAGAGACAGAGCAGCAAATCTTCAGGCAAATCAGAGCGAAGCACAAGAACTATTGAGTGATGTTACTGGGGGATTTTAATTCTCAGTAAATTCAAGAACTAGGTCAAATATCACAAGTTGGGAGGAAAATGTGATATGAAGAGAGGGAATAAGAGAACAGAATGACATGGAATAGTTAACACAAACGGTAACCCCAAAATGGTCTAAAGACATCCAAATAGCAAACAGTAGCAAGAGGTGTAAGGGGACCTATAAGGGTAAAGAGGGTGATATATACTTAGGGGCACAGGGAAAGGCCTAGAATAGTTAATGGGTACTTTGTATTGGTGTTTACTAAGGAAGAGAATGCTGACAGAATATTTGTAAAAGGGATATAAGTAGAGGAAATAGATGGAGATACTGGAAAGGGTAGTTATGGAGATGTTTGAGTTAATCAAGGTAGGCCAGAATGGATTTGAGAAAAGCAGATCATGTTTGACTAAACTAAAACAAAGAATTGCAGATACTGAAGTGCTTAAACAAAAGCAGGAATTGCTGGAGAAACTCAGCAGGTCTGGCAGCATCCGTGGAAAGAAAGTAGAGTTAATGTTTCGAGTCTGGTGACATTAATTTTGCTTATTCTCCACTCATGCTGCCAGACCTGCTGAATTTCTATAGCAATTTCTGTTTTTGTGTTTGATCTGGGTAGTGTTGTAGAACAAAGAGACCTTGGGCTTCAGGTTCATAATTCATTGAAATTTGCATCACCTGTGGACACAGTGGTTAAGAAGGTATTTAGCACGCTTACCTTCATTGCTCAGACCTTTGAGAATAGGAGTTGGGATGGCATGTTGACGTTGTACAGGACGGTCGGTGATGCCTCTTTAGGAGTACTATGTGCAGTTCTGGTCATCCTGCTATGAAGGATCTTATTAAATGGAGAGGGTTCAGAAAAGACTTACCAGGATGTTGCCAGGAATGGAGGGTTTGAGTTATAAAATGGAGCATAGGAGGTTGAGGGATGACCTTATAGAGGATTATAAAATCATGAGGGGCATAGATGAGGTGAATAACAAAGGTCTTTTCACTAAGGTGGGGGATTTCAAAACTAGCGGGCATGTTTTTAAGGTCAGAGGAGAAAGATTTAAAAAGGCTATGAGGAGCAACGTTTTTACACAGCCAGTGGTTAGTGTGTGGAATGAACTGCCAGAGGAAGTAGTGGATGCTGGTACAGTTACAATATTTAAAGGTCATTTGGATAAGTACATGAATAGGAAAGGTTTGGAGGGATATGGGCCAAATGCAGGCATGTGAGACTAGTTTAGTTTGGGAACATGGTCGGTGTGGACTGGTTGGACCGAAGGGTCTGTTTCCATGCTGTAAGACTCTATGACTGTAGGACTAATCTAACTGAATTTGTTTTTTTGCTGAAGGGAATACTGTGAACACTGTCTTTATGGGTATCAAGAAAGTGTGTTGTGGATTATGCTTGTTTTTCAGACTGAAGTATGGTAAGTCATGCTCCTCAAGAGTCAGTGCAGCAGCACTGTTTTTTTGATATATAAAATTGATTTCGATACTGAGTAAAAAGTAACATTTCAAAATTTGCTGATAATATCAAACTTGGAAGAATAGCAAACAGAACTATACCAATCAATTGCAATAGGACACAATTGACTGGCTGTTTGTGGAAACAAGAGCAGATGGAATTTAATACAAAGAAGGTACAGGGGCAGGCATATTTAGACTTAATGGCACAGCCCTAAATAACATACAAGGACAGAGGACCTGGGAATCTATAATAGCAAAAGAAATGGAATCAAAAGAAATGGAGAACCCAGTACAAAGTCAAGGATGTTATGCGAAAGATAACACATTGTGGAGCTGGAGGAATACAGCAGGCCAGGCAGCATCAGAGGAGCAGGAAAGCTGATGTTTTGGGTCTGGACATCTGAAGAAGGGTCCTGACCCGAAATGTCAGCTTTCCTCTCCTCTGATGCTGCCTGGCATGCTGTGTTCCTCCAGCTCCATACTGTGTTATCGCTGACTCCAGCTCGGCAGTTCTTACAATCTCTCAATGTTATGCTAAACCTTTGTTAAGCTTGGTTAGACCACAACTCAAGTATTGTGTCCAATTCTAGTTCCGACACTTCAGGAAGGATGTGGAGGTTCCTTACAGGATACAGGGGAAAACCACCCCCTGCAAGTTTCCCTCCAAGCCACTCACCATCCTGACTTGGAACTATATCGCCATTCCTTCACTGTTGCTAGGATTCCTGGAATTCCCTCCCTCAGGACATACAATGGACTGTCATGCACTGCATCTGTTCAAGAAGGTAGCTCACCATCACCTTCAGGAGGGATGGGCAATAAATGCAGGCCCACCCGGCAACAGCAACATCCTCCAATAAATTTTGCAGAAAAGTCCCAGCCTTTGGCACATGCCTGGCTGCTAGCTCACTCCGATTCCTGGGAGAAGCTGCTCTTTGAGGAAGAACTTCTTCACCCAAAGGGTGGTGAATCTGTGGAATTCCGTGCCCAGTGAAGCAGCTGAGGCTACCCCAATGAGTGTTTTTGAGGCAAAGATAGATTTTTGAACAGTAAAGGAATTAAGGGTTATGGTGAGCGGGTGGGTAAGTGGAGCTGAGTCCACAGCAAGGTCAACCATGATCTTATTGAATGGTGGAGCAGGCTCGATGGGCCAGATGGCCTACTCCTGCTCTTATTTCTTATGTTTTTATGTTCTAACCAATCAGCCTGAGCTCTAACTCTCAGTTAATGCAATGCTGATGGTTTTGAGAACATGGTTGAGAAAATATCCACTGAAATTAGAAAAGAAAACAGCAGATGCTGGAAATCAAAAACAAAAACAGAAATTGCTAGAAAAATACAAATCTGAAGACTGAAGAAGGGTCAGTGGACCCGAAATATTAATTCTGCTTCCTGTCCATAGATGCTGAGTTTCTCCAGCAATTTCTGATTTTGTTCCCACTGAAATTAGATAAAAACCCAAAAGAACTGCAGATGCTGGAGATCATACAAAAACAGAAATTGCTGGAAAATCCCAGCAGCGTCTAGGAAGAGGAAAGTAGCCCGGGCTAATGTAAGGGATCTCTGAGCACACTGGCAACCAAACGCCTTGCCCCAACCCCTGCAGCTACACACAGCGGTGTGGAGATAAGGTTTGTAAAGTGCCCATGTGTTCCTATGGATGGTACAATGTCTATCTTCTCAGACTGCCTTTCCCTTGGGGTCTGACCTGTGGATTCAAACCAAGCGCCACTCCAGTGCAGAAACAGCTCGGAGCAGAAGTTAGTACAGAAATGGGGGTTAACGGGCAGAATGCATTCCATCCGTTTCACTAACAATACATCCAGCAAACCCTTCCAGATCTCTCTCTCTCTCTCAAACACACACACAGGCACAACATTTGACGAGTTTCCTATCCATTACTGCTATCCAGTCAAATCCCAAGGCTGCAGATAAACTGTGGGGAGGGGGAACAGGGGAAGGCTGACATTGTCTCGGTCACACTAACTCTCAAATGCGGATCAAAAGAACGTTGTTTCAAAAGGGACCCGCGAGGTACTCACATTTTCTCGGTGTTCTGGGGAAAGGGCGGGATGTGATCGATGAATTTACAGGTTATCTGGAAAATATTCCACTCTGAGCACTCACACAGACTGGGGCAGAGATCAGCTACAGCCAGCCGCAGGGAGACCGTTGTAATCACCAGCACAGAGAGATTCTGCACCTTCATCCTCCCAATTCACTCCTCCTGACCAATGCCACTCGATTTTTGTTTTGTTGCGCACGCCTGTGGCTTCCTTTCTCTTTCCGCACTTTCTGGCTTGAAGTTTCTCCTCTTTAAACGGGATTGTTGCGAATCCCTATTGCCCCTCAAGTGGTTTCTGCAGCTCTCAGCGCCAGGAGCTCTCACACAAGGCAGGGCGAACACTGACAGTGTTCCAGAACCTGCACACTATCAGACAGATGATCTCCCCACAACCATTAACAATTGGGAAGAAGTAAGGCAGTTTTTTTTTCAAACGCAGTTAAAACTTAAAGAGCGCAAGACTGAGTTTATGATGAAGCATGCTGGTTTTTTAAGTAGGAAAAGATCAGAATCATCGAAAAGTTACAGCCATGCAGCCTCAGGATAAACTGACCGCCCAATTTAAATCCTACTTTCTTATTCATTCGCAGGATGGGGGCATTACTGCCCAGGCCAGCATTTATTGCCCATCTCTAATTGCCCTGAGAGCAGTTAGGAGTCAGCCACATTGCACCAGGTCTAGAGTCACAGGGTTGACCAGGCTGGCTAAAGATGGAAGATTTCTTACCCCTACAGAGCATTAGTGAACCAGATGGGCTTTTCCTGACAATTGTCAACAGTCTCATAGTCAGCATGAGACTTTTTTAAAAAATTGAATTCAAATGCCACCATCTGCCATTGCAGGATTTGAACCCAGATCCCCAGGTTATTAGGAACAAAAACAGAAGTTGCTGGAAAAGCCAGCAGGTCTGGCAGCATCGTGAAGGAAAAAACAGAGTTAACATTTCAGGTCAGAGGAAGGGTCACCGGACACAAAACATTAACTCTGTTTGTGCCTTCACGGATGCTGCCAGACCTGCTGAGCTTTTCCAGCAACTTTGTTTTTGTTCCTGATTTACAGCATCCGCAGTTGTTTCGGTTTTTACTTCCCCAATTTATTACTTGGCTGGCTGGATTAATATCTAGTGATAACACCACTTACCCATTGCTTCCCTTTTTAGCAGCTGCTCCATAGCCTTGCAGTTTACAGTGTTTCGGGGCCAGATCCAGGTTCCCTTTAAACATGTTCAAGAAGCCACCAAACTTGGCAATAAATTTCAGACATCCACCAAGTTTTTCCTCTGTCCCCTCTAATCTTTCTACCAGCCATCTGAAATCTGAGCTGCCTGGTATTTGACCTCTACACGAGGGGAAACAGATCAGGGTCATACGGTCCTATAGCAGGGAGACAGGCCCTTCGGCCCAAACTGGTCCATGCTGACCAAAATGTCCATCCACGCTAACCCCATTTACCTGCACTTGGCCCATATCCTTCTAAACCTTTCCTATCCATGTGTTTGTCCAAATGCCTTTTAAATGTTGTTAATGTACCCCCCCCCACCAATTTCTCTGTCAGCTCATTCCATATGCATGCCACCTTCTGTGTAAAAAAGCTGCCCCTCAGGTTCCCCTCTTACTTAAACTGATGCCCTCTAGTCTGCAATTCCCCAACTTTGGGAAAAAGACTGAGTGCATTCACCCTATTCATGCCTCTCATGATCTTATAAACTTCTATAAGATCCCCCTCAGTCTCCTCTGCTCTCAGGAAAAGCACCCTAGCTTGTCTAACCACTCCCTATAACTCAGTCCCTTGAGTCCTGGCAACATCCTTGTAAATTTCTTCTGCACTCTTTCCAGTTTAACAACATCCTTCCTATAGCAAGTTGTCCAAAACTGAACACAATACTCCAAGTGTGGCCTCAACAACATCCTGATGCAACATAACTTCCCAAATTCTATACACAGTGTCCTGACTGATGAAGGCCAATGTGACAAAAGCCTTCTTCATTGCCCTGTCTACCTGTGACTCCACTTTCAGAGAACCGTGCATCTGAACTGTTTCCCTGTTCCACCACATTCCTAAAGGCCCCACCATTCACCATGAAACTCCTACCTTTCCAAAATGCAACGCCTCATACTTATCTATATTAAACTCCTTTTGCCATTTCTCGGCCCACCTCCCCAGCTGATGAAGATCCTGCTGCAATTTCTGATAACCTTTCTCACTGTCCACGATACCGCCTATATTAATGAAATCTGCAAACTTCCTAATCATGCCTTGTACATTGTGATCTAAATCATTGACATAGATAACAAACAGTAATGGGCCCAGCACCGACCCCTGAGGCACACCACTAGTCACAGGCCTCCAGTTAGACAAGTGTCCTTCCATTATTACCCTCTACTTCCTACCATCAAGCCAACTGTGTATCCAATTTGCCACCTCTCCCTGGATACCATGTGATCTAACCTTCCAGAGCAACCTACCATGTGGAGCCTTATCAAAGGCCTTACTGAAATCCATATAGACTATGTCTAACACCCTGCCCTCATCAACCTTACTGGTTACTTCATCAAAGAACTCTAACAAATTTGTTAGGCAGGATCTCCCACACACAAAGCCATGCTGACTCCTAATCAAACCCTGTCTTTCCAAATGCTTCTATATCTTATCCCTCAGAATCTTCTCAAGTAATGTACCTACCACAGATATTAAGCTTACTCGTCTATAATTCCCAGGTTTTTCTTTGCAGCCCTTCTTGAATAAGGGCACAACATTTGCTACCCTCCAGTCTTCCGGGACCTCACCTTTGGCTAATGATGATGCAAATATATTAGCCAGGACCCCCGCAATTTATTCTCTAGCCTCTTGCAGGGTTCTTGGATATATCTGGTCAGGACCAGGAGATTTATTCACCTTCATACATTCTAATATGTTCAATGCCTCCTCTACTGTGATAATGGACTGTTCCCAAGATATTGCCACTAACTTCCCCAAGTTCCCATGACTTAATGTCTTTCCCGACGGTAAACACAGAGAAGAAATATTTATTGAGGACCTCATCCATCTCCTGCGGTTCCACACATACATGTCCATTTTGGTCCTTGAGGGGATCCTATTGTCTCTCTAGTTATTCTTTTTCCTTTAACATACTGAAAGAATCTCTTTGGATTCACCCTAATCTTCTCAGGCAAAGCTATCTCGTGCCCCCTTTTTGCCCTCCCGATTTCCTTCTTCAGTAAAATCCTGTATCCTCTATATACTTCCAGGGATTCCCTTGATCCCAGCTGCCTGTTTCTGAGCCATGCCTCCTATTGTCTGGTCAAAGCCTCAATATCTCTTGTCATTGAGGGCTCCCTATTCCTGCCAACCTTACCCTTCAGCCTCACAGGAACATATAGACCTTGAACTCTAGCTATCACACTTTTAAAGGCATCCCACTTGACACAGGTCCCTTTGCTTGGAAACAAACTATTCCATTCAACCCCTGCAAGCTCCTGTCTAATTCCATCAAAATTCACCTTGCACCAATATAGAACTTGAACCTGTAGACCAGTTTTGTCCTTCTCCATAACTATTTTAGAATTAATAGAACAATGGTCACTGATCCCAAAGTGCTCCCCCACTGCCACCTCAGTCACCTGTCCTGCTCTATTTCCCAAGAGTGCGTTGAGTTTTGCCCCTTCCCAAGTAGGACACTCTATATACTGCTTGAGGAAACATTCCTGAACACATTTAACAAATTCCACCCCAGCTAAGCCTTTAACACTATGGCAGTTCCAGTCTATGTCAAGAAAATGAAAATCCTCCACCATGACAACCCTATTTCTCCTGCAAGTCTTCCCAAACTGTCTGCATATTTGTTCCTCTAGTTTCCGTCGACTGTTTGGGGGCCTGTAGTACAATCCCAATAATGTCCCCACCCACTTCTTATTTCTTAGCTCCACCCACAAAGCCTCACTGGATGATCCCTCAGTTACTTCAACTCTGACTACTGCTGTGATACTCCCCTTAATCAAAAATGCAACTCCCCCCTCCTCTCTTTCCTCCATCTCTGTCCTGCCTAAAGCACCAGTACCCTGGCACATTAAGTTCTGTCCCTCCCTTAGCCATGTTTCTGTGATGGCCATAATATCCCAGACCCCTGTGCTATCCATGCCTTGAGTTCATCAGCCTTACCTGTCAGCCTCTTGCATTGACATAGATGCAATTTAATCCAACAGGCATTCCTCATTCCCTGTCCTGTTCCAGCCTGACCTGGCTCTTCAACTTGCTATTTCTGATTACTGAATCTCCTTCCAGGCTTGCACTTGTCTCCCTGCTGTTGAGGATCCCACCACACCCCGCCCCCCTGCCACCACACCCCACCCCACCAATCTAGTTTAAACCCTCCCTTGCAGTACTAACAAATCTGCCCACCAGGATACTGGTCCCCCTCCAGTTCAGGTGCAACCCGTCCCTCTTGAACAGGTCACCTCTGCCCCAAAAAAGATCCCAATGATCCAGGATCTTCTCTATCCACTCTATCTAAACCCCTCATTATTCTGCACACCTCAATTCAATCATCATCAACCTCTCCAGTTTGAAGAGAAACAAACCCAGCCTATCAAATCTTTCCTCGTTACTGCAATTTTCAAGTTTCACTGCATTCATGTAAATCTTGTCTGTAGTTCTCTCCAGAACAATTACGTCTTTCCTGTAATATGGTGACCACAACTATACACACAGCTGTGGCCTAACCAGCATCTTGTATACTTCCAGCATTACACCCCTGTCTTTCATTTCAGTACCTCACAATGAAGGAAAGCATCCACAAATACCTTCCTTACCACCTCATCTAGTTGTCCTGCCGCCCTCAGGACTTGTGAATGTGCACCGCAATGCCTTTCATTTTCTCTACTTCTCCCAGTACCCTCCTGTTCATTATGTGTTCCTTTGCATTGTTTGCCCTCCCCAAATGCATAATCTCGCACTTCTCTGGATTGAATTCCATTTGCCACTTCCCCACCCACTTAATTCATATCTTCCTGCAGTCAACAGCCATTTCTCTTCACTAACAATTACATTTGATTTGATTTGATTTATTATTGTCATATGTACTGAGATACAAAGAAAAGTATTGTATTGAGTGATAATCAGACAAATCATACCTTACATAAGTACA